ATGGGGACCTCGGTGCCATCGCTGGCCCGGGCACCAGGGCTGCACCTCTGCCCCTGGCCTGGCCTGTCTGCTGCTCCCCTCTCTGCAAAGCAGATCCTGGGCTTGTGGAAAGGAATCAGTTCTCGGAGAAAGAACAGCCCAGCCTTCTGAACGAGGAGGATTGCCTGGCATTACTTTTTTGGGTATTAATTTTTTTATTTGCCTTTTTTTTTATTTGAACGCTGATATGACTTCATATCCCTTTATTTTTGACTCTGCCCTGGTATTCCCCATCCCCTCTGCTCTCGAGGCAGCAGAAGGGATGCAGTTCCTTTTCTCATTTGTTGAGGAGATGATTGCTGTGCCCTGGGCTCTCTCTGGATGGGTGGGGTGTGTGCGTGTGTGAGATGCCGAAAGCAGCACGGGAGGGACCGTTTCCAATTAGCGGCTCCCTGACAATGAAACAACCACTTCAATGAACTAAAGGTTGGATAAATTATCACTGTAAGGCCTGTCCTAGAGCCAGGGCCCCCGTGGTGTGGTGTTTTCAGGGTGTGCTGTGTGTGTGAGCCCTGAGCTGAGGCACAGATCAGGTGCTCTCCACACCACAGAGGAATGACTCAACCACTGGTACCTCAATTGTGTTCAAATGTAGCATTGCAAATATGCTCCAGCTGTTTGGAACTCATTCCTTTCTCCTTTTCCCCCCACTGCTCCCCAGTTCTCACTCACAGAGCTCACATTTCACTCCTGTGGTACCTGTGGGCCTGAATTTTTAAGTAGCAAGAGATTTCTCCTTTTATTGGGGGGGGGGAGAAAGAAGAGTTTGAAATGAGACAGGGACTCCCCAACTTGAGATCCTTGTCTTGGCAGTGTGATTTCCCTTTTGGACAGGTGCCTGCAGCTTTTCCAAGCCCACTGGCATCCTTCAGCCCACTCACAGTGCCTCATGTTGTACACCTGGAATTCCCAGCAGCTTCTGGAAACCAGGGCTGCTTCTCCCTCCAGCCTCTCCCCAAGGACAGTCTGAGCTTCTTGGCTTTTGGAACAGGCTCTAAATCTTCTTTTTGTCCCCTTCCCGCTGCCCCAGCCTGTCACAGCTCAGCAGCTCCCGTCTCCCTGTGCTGCAGGGGAGTGTCCAGGCTCTGCAGCTGTCTCCTGGCCCATGTGGACTGCCCCAGGAAGGTCAGAGGAATCTGCTTTGTTCAAAAAATGATGAAATCGGTGAATTCCCTCTGTTTTGTGCGTGTGCCTCCACCCGAGCGAGCTCTCGACCCTTTCCATCCCATTCCTGTGAGCAACAACAGGATTTCTCTTTCCTGCTGGGCTCACAGGGAGGTGTCCCTGGCTCCAGGGTCCCCTTGGGAGGAGGAGCAGCCGTGGACAGGTGGAAGGGGCTGGAGCTGGGCTTGGCCCGAGGAGCTCAGGAGGAGAGAGGAACGCAGGGAGAGTGGAGCCCAGGCAGGAGGGGCAGTGCAGGGGGAAACAGGGCTGGTTTCACACAAGGAATGAGGGAGCTGTGCCTTGGGGCAAAACCTGAGGGAAGAGAGAAATGCAGCAGCTGAGGGGAGTTGTGGTGCCCGTGCCCTGGGCCTGCATCAGAATCTTCACGCTGCAAATGGTGTGTGAGGCTGTCCTGAGCAGCAGGGACGGGGGCACAGCGACTCCTGTCCCCCCTGGCCGGGTCCTGAGCAATATCCCCTGAGCCTGAGGCAGGGAAAGCCGGGAGGAGGGAGCCTCTTGTCTCTGCTGCCCAAACTATGCAGGTGCTCACTGCTTCCCTGTGCCGGAGGGAGGAGGAAGGGAAAGGGCAAAACAATTCCCCAGCATCTTCTGGGGGTCCCGACCCCCCGACCCACACTGTGTGGACACGAGGTGTCAGCATCTGCCCTGGGAGATGCCAGGGTGGGATTGCTCCTGGTGCTGCACGTCCCCTGCCGAGGAGGAGGAGGAGGAGAGCTCGGAGGGGACGTGTGTCTGTGTCTGTCTGTCTGTGCGTAGCAACCCTGTCTGAGGGGAGGAGAACAACTCTGTGTGGCTTCCCTGCCAGTTTTAGTTCGTGGTGTCTCACCCAAGGTGTTCCTTGTCTGAATTCCCAGCAGAGGAGCGTCCCCGGGCCGGGGGGCTCCGGCTCTGGGGGTTTTTCCAGCAGGGCCAGGCAGGAGCCCCTGCCCTGATTTGGGGGCTGCCTTGGCCTCCCTGCTGGGCACACCTGGTCCAGATCCATGTCCAAGCGTTGTCACTTTGATTTCTCTGTAACTTTATTTATGTGGAACTCTGTTTCTCGGAATTTTTTGCACTACACGGGACTGGGGAGGGAACACAAGCAATAGAAGCCAACGTGTACAATAAAGACGTTTTCTTGGATACCGGATCCTGCCCTGTGCATCCTTCACTCTCCCTGCCCTGGCTGCCTCCTGGGGCTGCTCCCTGCTTCCCAGGGCAGGGGAGGGATCCCAGGCAGGGGGTGCACTGCTCTGAGCAGCCAGGCTGTGCCAGGGGAGGCTTTGGGATGGAGATCAGGGAAAGGTTCTTCCCTCAGAGGGTGTTGGGCACTGCCCAGGCCCCTCGGGGAAGGGGTCCCAGAGCTCCAGGAGTGTTTGGACAATGCTCTCGGGGACAGGGTGGGGTTGTTGGGGTGCCTGGACAGGGGCTGGACTCTGGATCCCCTCTGACTTGGGATGACTCTGTGAGCTCTCAGCTGCCCGGGTGCTGCTCCAGGCCTCGAGGCATTTGCTCAGAACTGTGCTCCAGCTGGGACTGGCCCTGCTGGTGGGGGTGTTGGAGGCCAGAGGGGCCCAAACCAGTTTGGAATGCTCTGCTGTGGCACAGCTGAGCTAAAAGCAGCAGCTTTTTGCCCAATCCCGGACTCAGCTGAGGTTGGGGGACTGGGTGGGTGTGGGAGGCTTTGTATTCACAGCTGGGATTTTGTCCCCAGTGTGTCACCCTCCCCTGATCCCAGGACAATGGTGCTGCTGGTGCTGGGCCCCTGTGGGAAAAGCCCCAGGCCCAGTGGCTCCAGAGCCAGGCTGATTCACACCTCTGGTGCCACCAAGCCCCGTTTTGGCCTCGCCAGGGCTCCCTGGCAGCTCTCCCTGCGTGGAGCAGAGCAGGAGCCCCGTGCTGCCCCTCCTGCTGCCACCCTCGCTCTGTCCCCGTGGCTGGGGACAGGCCCAGCTGGTGCCATGCTGCTGCCCAGGGAGGGGAATGCTGTGTCCTGCAGGGGCTGAAGGAGCTGCCTGGCACCAGCCCTGGGGCCCGAGGGGGAGCTGGAATGCCTGGCCCGGCTGCAGCCCCTCGTGTTCCCTTTCCTGCTGCTCCTGCTTCTGCTTTGCCTCCTATAAATAACTGCTGGGCTCTGAAAGCCTTCCCGGAGTCCCGGTGCTGCTTCCCTCCGGCCCAGGCTCTCCTGAGGCAGAACTGTGGCTCCAGGAGAGCTCTGAGCCCTCAGGCTGGTGGCAATCCTGTCCTCAGCCTCTGGTGTCCCCTGGCCCTGTGCCCTGGGGTGTCCCACGAGCAAACAGGACCTGTGACAGCAGCAGCAGCAGCTGTGTCCCTGCTCCGAGCAGGAGCTTTTATTTCCAGCACACTGCAGGAACAGCACGCTTGTGGTCACGGCCTGACCGCGTTAGCCACGGATCCAGGAGGAATGGAGCTTTTCCTGCGTGAAGCACAGCTGGGGCTGTTTGCTGCAGTGTCTGAGCCTGGCCAGGAGGTGCTGGGCTGCTGCTTTCCCGTCACAGCCTCATTTCCCAGCTCACTCCAGCGAGCCCTGCCATGAAAATCACAGAATTTCTACCGGAGGGGTGTCCTGGTGCTTCCCTGGGCCAGGAAGGGTTAATGGTTTTTGGACAGAAAGGGGAGGGGGATAAAGGAGCTGCTTTCAAAGGGCAGAGATGGGGAGAAATTTTATGGCACATCCTATTTCAGCTGCTCTCTCCTGGCGAGTGCGGCCTGACCGTGCCATCCCTTTTTGGGGAATATTACTGCGAGGGTAAAACTCAAATGGGAACAGTCCAACACACCCTGTGTGTGTCTGTCAACCCCAGCTTGATCCCAACAGGAAAATCTCCTCTCAGAGTCCTCCTAAAATAACCTGTAGATTTGTCACATCACATCCTTTATGTTATTTCTTATTTATGTTCACTAAATCGGATTTTTTTTTTTCAAACCTGCCATCAATTCAGTCGGTTTGACAAGATCTGATTTCCACAGCCCCGTGTTGATTTGTATTAATTATGTTCTCCTCCTCTAATTCTCAAAGTTAATCCAACTCCCTCACAGCTGTTACATCATTTTCCCAGGAATTGCTGGCAACTGGCAACCCCATAATTACCGGGGTGGTATTTTACCCGTGGAAACGCTGATATCCCTCTTAAATTATGCAATTTCTTTGCAAATCCGTGGTCCTGCAAGACTTTACTGCAACAGCAACCCAAGCACTTTGTGTTCAGCTCTTTCAAACTTTCTGACCTGAATTCTCTCTATTTTTGGATCCAGAGCATTCAAGTTTTGTGTTTACATCTTAGCAGCCACCCAAAAATGAAAAGGCTTTCTCCTTTCCTATGGCTGGGAATCCTTCCTAATTCCTGGTTTGTTTGTTTTTTTTCAGCACAGAAATATTGAGTCTGCATTTACCTTTTGTCACCAACTTCTCCTTTTTATTGTTTGTATTTCCACGCAGCGAGTCACTCGCAGCACGGTCAGAAATCTTCAGTTCCCTTCCTTTTAAAGCATTTCTCCTACAAATATTCTTTTTTTTTTTTTTTTTTTTTTTTTTTTTGTTGCTCGTGCCCATCTCCTTTTGCTCTTTGCTTCCTCCATCCATTTCCCACCATTCCTAGATTTGGATTAGCGTTCCCAGTTCGATACTTTTTTTTTCCCGCTGCCCATTTATTTTTGTATTTTTACCCCGGCTGGGAGCGGCCTTTGGAACCCCGGAGATTTTTGTTAATGCTTAAACAGCCAGCAGCGCCTTTATCTCTCTGCAGCGTTATCTGGGCCCGAGCTGCGGCCGAACTCCATCCGGGCCAGCGCTCCGGGATGGGCTCCGCTGCGGCCGCGGCTCGGAGCCGCCGGAGCCTCGGGAGCCGCGGCCGGCTCGGGGTGAATTCCCCGGGAACAGGTACCGGGCTCGCCCCTCCCTGCCCGCGGGGCGGGAGCGAGGGGCAGGCTCGGGCTGTGCCCACACCCACTCGAGTCCCGGCGGGGAGAGAGGAGAGCCGGGAGCGCTCCCGGAGCCATGGGGAACATCGCCTGTGTCCCGCAGGCTCCCGGCGGCTTCAGGAGCTCCTTCCGAAGGAAACCCTCGCTGAAGAAGGAGTGAGTACCCCCGGCCGGCTCTGGGGTGCGGGAGCGGGGCTGGATCCCCTGCGGGATCTCTCCTGGCGGGGATTTCCTAATTCCCGGTGGTTTCGGGGGTGCTGGGCATTTCCAAACCCCGGGATCAGCCGGCCCCGAGTGCCTGGCACGGAATTCTCGGCCCTCGGGAGAAGCGCCAATGAGTTAATTTTTGTTTGGGTAATCAAGCTCCCCCCGGCGGGACGAGGTGCAGAACACCTGATATTCCCAGATTTCACTCGCGAGTGGTTTTATTCAGGGTCGTGGTGCTGCTGGGAGAAAACAACCCTCCCACTCCTCAGGTTTTGGGGAGAACACCCCAAATCCCAGCGCTCTGCTGTAGGATTTGTGTTTGTAAACCCGAAGGAGGAGCAGCAGAAAATATCCGGGATTTGAGGATTTGGGGATTTGGGTGCAGGGCTGGCCAGGGCAGGGCTCAGGGAGCGCGGCCGTGGGTGGCTGTCCCAAAACAGCTCCAGGGAATTCATCTCCCAGATTTCCCACTGCCCCCAGCAGCACAGCCAGAGCTGGGACAGAGCTCTGGAGGGAGCCGGCTGATTCCTCACGGACCTGCCAGCCCTGCCTGTGCTGGCTTTAGTGACAGGGCTGTGCCAAAAATCCCCAAAACTCGGCCAGGCTGAGGGGTTTCTGCTTAAAAGGAGACCCTAAAGTGTCCCCTTGGTGTCCTGAGCTGCCAGAAACCAGCAGCAAACCTGTGGGAGCCTGAGGAGCTCCAGTGGGGTAAAAGAGGGGGGATCCCTCAGGGAATTCGGGGTAAAAGAGGGGGGATCCCTCAGGGAATTTGGGGTAAAAGAGGGGGGATCCCTTGAGGAGATTGGGGTAAAAGAGGGGGGATCCCTTGAGGAGATTGGGGTAAAAGAGGGGGATCCCTTGAGGAGTTTGGGGTAAAAGAGAGGGGATCCCTTGAGGAGATTGGGGTAAAAGAGGGGGGATCCCTCAGGGAATTTGGGCTCTGGGGGTCTCACATCAGGGCCCTGTGGTGGGGCAGCCAAGCCCCAGAGCTCCTCCTGTCCCACTGACCCCCAGCTCCCCACACTCATGGGGTTATCCTGTTTGTCTGCTGCAATCTGAGGATGTCCCAGCACTTCCCAGTGGCTGCCTGGTACTGGTGTGCACGTGGGGAGAAACTGGCAATGGGAGGAAAGGGACAGGGAGGCCACCAAGGCAGAAACGAACCCTCTGTGAATATCTGCCCGCGGATCTGTGCGGATCCCTCCCCGTTCCAGGGGCTCTGCAGGAGCTGCCAGGGCCCTGCCCTGCTCTGGGGGCACAGATGAGCCAAGCTGCTCATTTGGCTGTAAAAAAGCAGAGAAACCCCAACAAGTGCAGCAAAATCCCATTGCAGTTCTCGCAGGCTTTGTCAGCCCTCGGCCGGGCTGGGATGACTCGAGAGCCCGTGACAAATCGCTTGTTGGTGCTCTGGCTTCCTTATTTCTGGGCAGGATTCACTGTGCCTCAGCCTGGATCTGTTTCCATGTGTGTTTTGGGTTTTTTTTTTTCCCTCTGTAGGCAAAATGGCAAGAAAAAGCTGCCCAGCTTTTTTGGGATAGACGGAGGCCAGGAGAGGGACACAACCACGGACAAAATCCTGCAGTATATTCCAGCAAAGGCAAGTTCCAGCAGCTCCAGCCCCCTCCCCGCTGCCCCGGGGCTTTATTC